TTTCAGTGTTTATTACTTTATTGATATTGTTTTGCCAATTTTGCTACTCTGTTAGAGAGCTTTAGCTTTATGTCTTAAGCTGCCCATGCTAATCTTTGATTGTATTCAAAAAAGGTACATGTTTTTCTCTGTTAATTTAAGTAAAGGCAGTTTCTTCCGTTGTTGCTTCTGTTTCAGCTAGACACCGTATTTGAACATATGACCGGTTTTTGATTCCGATCGTACATTGAAACAAGATTTGATAGGATTTTCAATAAGTGTTTTATTTTTACCCTGACAACGCCCCTCCCCTTTCTAGTGTCCCAGAGACATCGGAGCTATGTTAAATGACCCCACTGTGCACTGTGTTATTCAGAATATCTTATCTTATGAGAGCACCCTTGTGAAATTGTACCACTTAGGGGTAATTCGCTCCTGTTCAGCAATATACTATGCACTGAGGATGATAAATGAGATACAACCCGCAAAGTTTATGCCAATTTACCATCGTAATACAGCTGCATTTTGTGTTGTGACTTTGGTGATCCTCGGTATGACAACCGCTGACATCCGTAAAAATGCAGATTCATAATAACGAACATTGTTGATTGTTCTTTTTTATCGCTCGTAACCTTGAGCCTGTACGATTCACGCTAGTATCGTCGCTGTCCGTGTCATCCTACTGGAAAACTGATCCAAAACGGATGAACTACGAGTCTCGAAGGGATCGACGCTCTGACAGCGCAATGTCAAATCTTAGTAGATCTACGTAAACTGTTCGGTTATTTAGATCTCTAAAATCGTAGTAGCCAGTTTGATAGAAATTTTGACCATGCTCTCAGTAGAAGATAATACTCATACTGATACTCAAACGGAATTAAAAATTAACAGTGACTAATTGAATAGTTAAATAATTGTTTTGGACCTTAAGCTTCATTGAGAATATGAGGGGTATGTTGTTTATGTCTATAGTATGCATTTTGTTGCAGCTTCGGGAAGAGCAGCGTCTCGCTTCTGGTGGCGGCGAAATGTTTTTCATGCGAGCACCGGAGGATTTGAGCGGAAAAGATGGTGAGCTGATCTTTGCGGAGTACTCAGAGGAGCACCCTCCACTGCTGATGCAGCCGGGAATGGCGACGAAGATTAAAAATTATTACAAAAGGGTAGAAGCTTATAAAATATGATCTGTATTGTGAATGAAAATTTCGACTTCGCTTTCAGCGTCCTGGCAAGGAGAGCTCGGAGCCAACCTTTGAATATGGCGAAACTGCTTATACGCACACCTCTCCGTTCCTTGGTTCCTTACAACCAGGTGAATCATTGCAAGCCTTTGAAAACAATTTGTTTCGAGCACCCGCGTATCAGCATGCGATGCCTGAGACAGATTTTCTCATCATTCGCACCAGACACGGGTACGACTTTGACATCACATCAGCTAAACAATTTTTCTTAAAATTATCGTGGCTGCAGGTTTTACATTCGAAGAGTGGATGTCATATTTTGTATTGGGCAGGAACTGCCCTTAACTGAAGTGCCAAGTCCAAACTCAAAGAGGGCAAGCAACTTTGTGCGAGACTTTTTGCTGGTATGCTATGAAATGCTAGCTGATTTTTATGTTTCTGATTTACTGTGCGAAAGGCAGTAGCAAAGGGATGATGACCTGATATACAATTTTAGACGACATTTTTGCGCCGCGTTTCCTATCTCGTTAGCCGAAGTAACACAAAATTATTGTATGCTATTTCCAAATATTATTCGCCTCCTCTGCCTGGATCTGCTGTCCTATTTAAGTCATCATCCTAGCTACTGAATATTGCAGTGTGATTACCTTCTTATGTAATGGTTTTGAATACACATGTAGTCCGATTGAACGTTCGGTTCTTGGTGAGGAATTGAAGCAGCTTTCCATCGCATTTCTTGAAAATGGCTGTATTTCTCATTTTATAAAATCGTCACATTTAATCATCCAGAGCAAGCTCTGTCTCAGCCAATAAATTGTAACAATCTAGTCATTGTTCCTTTTATTCTTGGGCTGGATGAAATAATCTGAACATCTCTGAAAAATCAAGATAAAAATTTCTTTCTCTCGAGAGGTCTCACTTTAGATTCAATACTGTATAAGAAATTTGAATATTGCTTATCTGTGCTTACAGAAATGTTTATTGTATAAACTGTAATGAAGGTGATGCAATGTGGATTAGGAAACAGACGGTTAGAAGCCTGGAAAATTATCTAATGCGTGTAGCTTTCGTTACCCACAGTAGTGTTGCTTCAGCATAATTTAATATTGTACAATAAAAAAATCGTATTCGCAGATAAGCTTAGATTTTAAAATAACCATAAAATTTATCGTTATCTTTTAACCTATACCTATTTCGACTCTTCCATCGTGACCAATGTAACGTCAGATTCAATCTAATCTGTGAAAAAGGCTTCACTCTATGCATCATCCTGCATGGCGAACAGTTTACAGCAGCTGAATTGTTTAAAACTTACTGTTTTTGCCTAA